TGGACCAGACAATCCAGTGATTGATATCATGATCATCGATCCACGCAACTGGGATTTTAATCAACCAAGTCACATTCAACCAAATCAACCAAATCACATTCATCACAAAAATTATTTTGTCTTTGTGCCTAGTATTTTAAGACAAATACGACTTAATTCAGATATTGTTCCTTTTCTTTCCACAAAGATGATATCCAAATTTGTTGAATGCATTTGTCGTCTTTGTTCTGAAGTACAACTTTTGTCATGACTCTGGAAGAACTTAGCATGAAATCCTAAAAAAAACTAAACCTTTCCATTGAAACAAATCCAGAGATACATTTAGCAACTTTGATGATTTAACAAAGCGAGTGAGTGGGTTTTGGTTAATGTGGGAGGAAAACCCGATGTGATGAAGGTCTCAGACGTTTACCACTTTGTTGAAACCCACGAGCACGGGTATGACGCGGACAAACCTAGAAACATATTCTGGCGTGCCTAAGGGACGCAACTCTGCACAGCGAATTGCGGCGCCTCAGACGACTGGGCCACCTTTGTTCCCTTTTCAACATAGGAATACTTCAACACATCCAAATGTGATAAGATGGAACGTGTAAACGATATGATTAATGTGAGTGAGTGAAGAAAGGAAGGAAGGAAGGAAGGAAGAAGGAAGGAATCAGGGTACAGTACGCCACGCAATCTGTCCAGCTTCAGAACCTCACTCCGGCTATACCCGATCCAATGAGCTCAGGCATGAGAAACTCGGGACATATTCTTTCCGGGGATGAACATTGAAAATGTTTCAAAGATGAATGTAGTAATGGCATGTGCACATATGTTGAAGTGCTGTCTAAAAAACATCCTGTGAAATAGCAAGGAGGTGTTATTAGGACGAACACATAATCGATGAGCATGAATGTAGCTGCCCCTAGGACACACATGGAACATCATTTATAAATCTCTTTTCTTTATAACGAATTCCTCTGCTGGTATGCACATTGCTATCACTCAGGCCACAGTTGTGAAGTCATCTATTTTCGAGAGGACCTAGAGCTATTTCATCTCTCTAGTCTGAGATATTTCATGTAATCAGCTGATGAAGAGTGTTGTACGTAGTGATGTTCTTGACGCAAGAAGCAGGTAACATATTCTAGATCCCGTGTTGGATACTAATGTCGTAGCATTAAACAGTACACAGGTTCATAAACACTATGTTCCCCATTACCCCTTTGAATACATACTAACTAGTCCGATGTTAATACACACGGCATTGTGGTCCGTGAATATATGCGGCCAAGCCTGCCGTTAATACATGCGGCATGGTGGTCCGTGAATACATGCGGCCTAGCCTGCCGTTAATACATGCGGCATGGTGGTCCGTGAATACATGCGGCCTAGCCTGCCGTTAATACATGCGGCATGGTGGTCCGTGAATACATGCGGCCTGGTGATCCGTGAATACATGCGGCATGGTGGTCCGTGAATACATGCAGCATGTTGGTCCGTGAATACATGCGGCCTGGTGGTCCGTGAATACATGCGGCCTGATGATCCATGAAGACATGCGGCCTGGTGGTCCGTGATTACATGCGGCCTGGTGGTCCGTGAATATATGCGGCCTGGTGGTCCGTGATTACATGCGGCCTGGTGGTCCGTGAATACATGCGGCCTGGTGGTCCGTGATTACATGCGGCATGGTGGTCCGTGAATACATGCGGCCTGGTGGTCCGTGATTACATGCTGCCTGGTGGTCCATGAATACATGCAGCCTGGTCGTCCGTGAATACATGCGGCCTGGTGATCCATGAATACGTGCGGCCTGGTGGTCCGTGATTACATGCGGCCTGGTGGTCCATGAATACATACGGCCTGGTGGTCCGTGAATACAAGCGGCCTGGTTGTCTGTGAATACATGCGGCCTGGTGGTCCGTGAATACATGCGGCCTGGTGGTCCGTGATTACATGCGGCCTGGTGGTCCGTGAATATATGCGGCCTGGTGGTCCGTGATTACATGCGGCCTGGTGGTCCGTGAATACATGCGGCCTGGTGGTCCGTGATTACATGCGGCCTGGTGGTCCGTGATTACATGCGGCCTGGTGGTCCGTGAATACATGCGGCCTGGTGGTCCGTGATTACATGCGGCCTGGTGGTCCATGAATACATGCAGCCTGGTCGTCCGTGAATACATGCGGCCTGGTGGTCCATGATTACGTGCGGCCTGGTGGTCCGTGATTACATGCGGCCTGGTGGTCCATGAATACATACGGCCTGGTGGTCCGTGAATACAAGCGGCCTGGTTGTCTGTGAATACATGCGGCCTGGTGGTCCGTGAATACAAGCGGCCTGGTTGTCCGTGAATACATGCGGTCTGGTGGTCCGTGAATACATGAGGCCTTCTAGTCCGTGAATACATGCGGCATGGTGGTCTTTGAATACAAGCGACCTGGTGGTCCGTGAATACATGCGGCCTGGTGGTCCGTGAATACATGCGGCCTGGTGGTCCGTGAATACATGAGGCCTTCTAGTCCGTGAATACCTGCGGCATGGTGGTCTTTGAATACAAGCGACCTGGTGGTCCGTGAATACATGCGGCCTGGTGGTCCGTGAATACATGCGGCCTGGTGGTCCGTGAATACATGCGGCCTGGTGGTCCGTGAATACATGCGGCCTGGTCGTCCGTGAATACATGCGGCCTGATGATCCATGAAGACATGCGGCCTGGTGGTCCGTGAATACATGCGGCCTGGTTACACGGGAATACATACTGCATTTCGGATATAAGGAGCACATTTTGCACACTCCTTGGTATACGAAGGACCTGGCTATAAATAACATTAGATTCACGAGGATATGATGGTTATGTGGGGATTCCGGTTTAAAAATTATCCCTAACAACCCATATGCTGCCGTAAAAAGCGACTTACTGGTTGAGGGGGTCTGACTCGGTGCCTTGGCTGATTGTGTGTCATCGAACTCTAATGGCGTTGATCGATGTTCATGATATCACTCAATGGTTTGTCTCGTACAGACTCGATTATTTACACTCAGCCGTAAATACATGCGGCCTAGCCTGCCGTTAATACATGCGGCATGGTGGTACACGGACCACCATGCCGCATACAATAACGGCAGGCTAGGCCGCATGTATTGACGGACCACCATGCCGCATGTATTAACGGCAGGCTAGGTCGCATGTATTCACGGACCACCATGCCGCATGTTTTAACGGCAGGCTAGGTCGCATGTATTCACGGACCACCATGCCGCATGTATTAACGGCAGGCTAGGCCGCATGTATTCACGGACCACCATGCCGCATGTATTAACGGCAGGCTAGGCCGCATGTATTCACGGACCACCATGCCGCATGTATTAACGGCAGGCTTGGCCGCATATATTCACGGATCACCAGGCCGCATGTATTCACGGACCACCATGCCGCATGTATTAACGGCAGGCTAGGCCGCATGTATTCACGGACAACCAGGCCGCATGTATTAACGGCAGGCTTGGCCGCATATATTTACGGACCACAATGCCGTGTGTATTAACGGCAGGCTAGGCCGCATATATTCACGGATCACCAGGCCGCATGTATTCACGGACCACCATGCCGCATGTATTAACGGCAGGCTAGGCCGCATGTATTCACGGACCACCATGCCGCATGTATTAACGGCAGGCTAGGCCGCATGTATTCACGGACCACCATGCCGTGTGTATTAACGGCAGGCTAGGCCGCATGTATTTACGGACCACCATGCCGCATGTATTAACGGCAGGCTAGGCCGCATGTATTCACGGACCACCATGCCGCATGTATTAACGGCAGGCTTGGCCGCATATATTCACGGACCACAATGCCGTGTGTATTAAAGGCAGGCTAGGCCGCATATATTTACGGATCACCAGGCCGCATGTATTCACGGACCACCATGCCGCATGTATTAACGGCAGGCTAGGCCGCATGTATTCACGGACCACCATGCCGCATGTATTAACGGCAGGCTAGGCCGCATGTATTCACGGACCACCATGCCGCATGTATTAACGGCAGGCTAGGCCGCATGTATTCACGGACCACCATGCCGCATGTATGCGGCGTTAAACAACAAACAAACAACACAAGAGCGGCTCCGGTGTATTTATGGACTGTACCGTCACTTATCATCAACATCAGTCCATCTTAATCCAATAACAAAGCTTTTACAAATGTGATACCTCAGAAAAAGGGTCTATATTTAAAGTGTGGTCGGTCGGTTGTGTAAGGGATGATACACATGTGTGTACTTAATCGACTTAAGTCAGCTAAAGACGATGGAACATCCGTTTTGAGAAAAACTATATTTATTTTGACGTTTTTGCACAAAGCAGTGGCTCTACTTTGCTAATCAAAGTAACAGTTTCAATCCAAAAGCACAACATTCCGGCATCGTTTAAGTTAATCTTTTCATTGATTTGCCCCTAAAGAAAGGCGTGAATGATTATACTGGAACTACATTTTTCCCCAATGGCGTTGTTCAGAGACATTACTGCATGATAATTACACAGCAATAATTCTTCTTGAAATCACGAATGCACACTCATTGATATTGGGGAAGCAAGCTCCTTTCGGGGAGTTAAAAATATGTTTTAAAGCACATCCTGAAGAAATATTGTCTCAAACAAAAATCCGAGCACTCTTTTTTTCTGTCCAAGTTCGGACAGATAGGGCGTGACTACCATTTTATGAATAGGGGAAGCAGATTGGCGACAAGGAACTATTGGTAGGAGAGTGATTTCAATCAGGAACACATTATGACCTGACTGGGCTCTCCCTGATCACATTGAAATTAGAATCGTGTATACAGGTCATTCGTGACCAACTGGTGTTATTCCGGGACAAGCTGAATAGCGACTCGTGCCCCTCCCATGGCCATTTTTGCGACCGGGTTCCGTCTTAGCGCAAACGGGCATCCCTAAAACAGTTGTTAACTCGTTGCGTAATGGTTCACATATATTTCCCCATATATTATATATATTTCAGATGCAGTTAAGCACAAAGGGACATGCGGAATTATACAGTATGATTGAACACATTTAACTGTGTCTTGGGTATATTTTTAGATGCAAGACATACGTAAAATCAAAAATTATTTCTTAGGGATTCTTTGAAGAACTTGAAATCGTACGCGCGTTCTGATTGGTTTGTCGTATTTTTGCACATAACATTCATCGATATGGGGACGAGTCTTCTTGCAGGTTACGGAAAGGGGCGAGTGGTGACGAATGGTATACAGGTATGACCTGACTGATCTAGAGTTATCTCCCCTGATGGTTTAGTGTGGGGATACGAACTAAGTATTAGGTAACTACCTGTAAAGTGTCTATATTCTGAATCAAACCTCGGTTATCCAGTGAAATACATCTCCATTTTTATTTAGATAACTATCCTTGACCCATTCACCAACATACCACCACTTAAGCTATGTTTAACGCCACTTTGAACAGAATGTCAGTTATATCACGGCGTGTCAGCTTAAAGTATGAGGAAAACCCGAAGTGATGCAGGTCTCGGACGCCAGCTTCTCCATCTTTTCCTGCATCTCTCGCTCGTGAGGGTAATTCGATCAGAAGGCTACTTTAAACTTTAGCGTCATGTAATTGGAATCAGGGGCAAAACGAAAATGCGGTTATGAACGGAGCTAGGACATTTATCGTAGAATGACTGAGATATAGTACCCTAGATAATCGAGGATGTGTAAGCGTAAGCGCTGGGTATTTGGTCCTCTACGTGTTACTGTCCGCTATGTGAGCCGTGGTGTTTGTGGTGGTCCTTGTGACGACAGACGATGACGGGGACGTGACTGTGGTGCAGGACGTAGTCGCTGATGCTGCCGACAAATGTCCTCCTCACTTTGCCGAGGCCCCGTGTGCCGGTGATGATCATGCAAGCCTTCTCTTCATCGGCCACTTTGCAAATTACCTCCCCTGGTTTCCCTCCGATGCTCCGGACTTTGCCCCGAAGCTGTAATAAGAAAAGTATTTTGTCCTCAAACAGTGACAAGAAATGTGTGTACGTGTATGATCGATATATCCTTCATGTTCGTATAAGTCTAAATATATCCTACATGTGCGCGGAGGTATAAGGCTATCCTACATGTTCGTATAAGTCTAAGTATATCCTACATGTGCGCGGAGGTATAAGGCTATCCTACATGTTCGTGTTTGTCTAAGTATATCCTACATGTTCGTATAAGTCTAAATATATCCTACATGTGCGCGGAGGTATAAGGCTATCCTACATGTTCGTGTTTGTCTAAGTATATCCTACATGTTCGTGTATGTCTAAGTATATCCTACATGTGCGCGGATATAGGCTATCCTACATGTTCGTGTTTGTCTAAGTATATCTTACATGTTCGTGTATGTCTAAGTATATCCTACATGTGCGCGGAGGTATAAGGCTATCCTACATGTACGTGTATGATCGATATATCCTTCATGTTCGTATAAGTCTAAATATATCATACATATGCGTGGAGGTATAAGTATATCCTGCATGTGGGTGTGGATGTCTAAGTATATGCTACAAGAGTGTGTATGTCAAAGGCTATCCTCCATGTTCGTGAATGTCTGAGTATATCCTACATGTGACTATGCATGTCTAAGCATATCCTACATATGGCTGTGTATGTTAAGTACATCTTACAAGAGCCTGTATGTCTAAGTACATCCTACATGTGTGCATGTCTAAGTATATCCTGCATGTGGGTGTGGATGTCTAAGTATATGCTACAAGAGTGTGTATGTCAAAGGCTATCCTCCATGCTCGTGTATGTCTGAGTATATCCTACATGTGACTGTGCATGTCTAAGCATATCCTACATATGGCTGTGTATGTTCAGTACATCTTACAAGAGCGTGTATGTCTAAGTACATCCTACATGTGTGCATGTCTAAGTATATGCTACATGTGGGTGTCTATGTCTAGGTATATCCTACATATGGCTGTGTATGTCTAAGTACATCTTACAAGAGCGTGTATATCTAATTATATCCTACATGTGTCTGTGCATGTCTACGTATATCCTACATATGTGTGTATGTCCAGGTATATCCTTCATGTGGGGGTGCATGTCTAAGTCTATTCTACATGGGGCTGTGTATGTCTAAGTATATGCTTCATGTGGTTGTGCATGTGTAAGTTTATCCTTCATGTGGGTGAGTCTCCGAGAAAGCCCACGCGAAACTTTGTCCCCAGGTAGATAACATGGACACTGGCCCCGCCTTGGGAGATAATTAAACTTACCCCATTGTCTTTCAACTTCTGTCCGAAAGTGTCCACCATCTCCCTGGCCCGCCCCTCTTCCTCGTGGATCATCTGCGTGATGAGGCTCACGTCACTCATGACAGGAGCCTCTGGAATAGAGAGTGGCTGATCTGAGTGGGTTGGTGTGTTTGAGAAGATTTAGGGTTCTGTGGCGCTTTCAGAATTTGGTCACCCGATGTACACTATGTTTGTTTGTTGTTTAACGCCGCACTCAGCAATGTTTCAGCTATATGACAGCGGTCTGTAAATAATCGAGTATGGATCAGACAATCCAGTGATTGACACTATGAGCATCGATCCACGCCACTGGGATCGACGACATGCATCAACCAAGTCTCCGAGCCTGACCACCCGATCCCGTTAGTCGCCTCTTATGACGACAAGCATGGGTTGCTGAAGACCTATTCTATCCCGGATCTTCACGGTGTGGATTCACTGTCATGAACATGAATACATGAAACAATATTGTACCCTGACTGCATAAATAAAATATCAACCACTGGTTTGTCTGGTACTGACTCGATCACTTACAGGCTGTCTTTTTCTGGACGTCATACTTATACTCACAATGAGGAAGAAAAACGCCAAGTTATCTGAATCTAATTCAATGTATATTTGCACACATAGTCCACACTTTCTAACGATCAGCGAAAGAAGCAGAACTCGGGTAGTAGGTCAGAATAGAATTATAGAACTGATTTTCCAATGAGAAATGTGTCCACAATATAAAGTCACACTCTACTACCGCGGTATCGCGTGCCAACACACCTCCACGAACCTCATCATTGCGTGCGTCGCCAACTCCTAGGCGTGATCATACAGTTAGCGTTATAATAAGCGTATCATTACCATATTTCAAACATCGTAGGTTGCAGTCAACACTGCTAAGTAGGCCATAACGTGAACATCATTACCATTGTACAATCCAAAGCGGCCACAATCTTCAGCCTCTGCGTCCTGACCCACTGACCACTGATTCACCACATTGTGTTGGCATCTACCATAACGTTATTCTCCAACTATTTCTCCAAGGTCAAATAATAATTCGTCCGGGAACGAAAACAGTAAATTATGCCAGATAGCATCATCTTGGCTGCTGACTCGGAAGAAATAGCCATCTTGGTGTGGCCATCGTTTAAGTCCCTAGTCCCAGTGGTACTGCTACTCCAAGCTGAATCGGATGTGGAAGATAAGATCGACTGTTTACTGAACTTTGGGAGACGGGAAGTCTACTGGTGAAAGCATAAAAAGATGTGACTGCGTATTCCCACATTGGAACAGACCCGTGACGATCCGGGGTAGAATAGGTGACCCATGCTTGCCGTAAAAGGCGACTATGCTTGTCGTAAGAGGCGACTAACGGGATCGGGTGGTCAGGCTCGCTGACTTGGTTGATGAATGTCATCGATCCCAATTGCGTAGATCGATGCTCATGATGTCAATCACTGGATTGTCTTGTCCAGACTGGATTATTTACAGACCGCCGTCATATAGCTGAGATATTGCTGTGCGGCGTTAAACAACAAACCAAACCAAAACATAGGAACATTTTGTCCATTTCTGTCCCCAATGTAACAATGATCCAATGCAACCTGAACACTCGGTCACATAATCTGTCATTGGATCCTGGATGTAACAATGCAAGTTTCATGAAACATCAAAGAAATTGTGAACACACAATACCATTTAGAAAGTGGCCATATGTAACAAATGTTATATTTGGGATAACACTGTCTTAGTAAAGTACAGATTCTGGTCCTTTTTTTGGGTTGAGTCCTGTCCAAAAATCTGTACTTTACTAAGAAAGTGTTATCCCAAATATAACATTTGTTACATCAAAGAAACTATTGCTCATACCGTATTGTCTGACATAATCGCCATTAAAACTTTTAATCCCTAAGGTCAATTTGATATTGTCTATTTTAGGGTTTAAAACCATTTCAAAATATAATCAATCAAATGACGGTTGCCCTAATTACTACGTATCCTTATGCCAACACTACGGAATACACTTACATATTGGGGGCGGTCGGGTAGCCTAGTGGTTAAAGCGTTCGCTCGTCACGCCGAAAACCCGGGTTCGATTCTCGTCATGGGTACAATGTGTGAAGCCAATTCTGGTGTCCCCCGCCGTGATATTGCTGGAATATTGCTAAAAGCGGCGTTAAACCATACTCACTCACTCACTCCTTCTCGTGCAAGTGTTACGCATTGTTTCCTCTTTCTAACAGATTCTGTTCCTGAAGAGTACAGTGACATATGTAACTGTCAACAATGCTGCTTTAACCAAAGTGGAAACGTCTGAGGTCTGAATCACTTCCGGCTTTCCTCCAACATTAAGCTGACTCGTACTTACATGTATATACCTGGAATACTTTTCAAAGCCGCGTTAAACCCAAGTCACTCACTCATTCGGTCAATAAGGTTGCCTAGTTACCTAACTGCCTCTTCTTTCTACGTATCACCCATATGACTACAAGTCCAAGTATGTGGCTCAACACTGAAGTAAGCAATGATGCTGTTATGTTTTGTTGTTTTTAGGAAAGCACTGTTTATTGTTTTTACGGAAATGCTCTACTCAGCGCTAAAACGTAGTGCCAGTTGGTGTTTGCTTGGATGAAGGTAAAGATATGTATCATTCCACTGGGAATGGGGGTGGGGGGTGGGGGGTGGGGGTGGGGGGTCGCATTGATATTGAGTAGCATTTATGGCTCATTTGGAGGCAGCAGTCGTATTAATTTGGAGACGCATTAATTTCAAGATTTACAGTATTTATCCTTTATTTGCAATGGTTGTACGGTTCCATTTGCAGTCATCGAAACCCTACAGATAGCTACCGAAGCGGTCATTTTGATGTGTAAAGATATATTGTCATTCTCCACAGTTTCATTTGTAGTAGCATATCTTTATAATTTTGCAAAACAATACGTAAATCGCACTGTATGTCTTCCACTAGGCCGAACTGTTCTGACACCAGACTAACCACGTTTGTTAACAAACAATGGAGTAAGTGAGTATGGTTTTACGCCGCTTTTAGCAATATTCCAGCAATCTCATGCGGGGGACACCCGAAATGGGCATCACACATTGTACCCATATCGGGAATCGAACCCGGGTATTCGGCGTGACGAGCGAACGCTTTAACCATTAGGCTACCCTTTTAACAAACAAGAAAAAAGCTCCTGGCACTTGATATGCAAATTAGTCTGAGTAATATATGTCATCACAGCGCCGGAGTGTGAATTTGAATGTTAAGGTGATGTCAGCGATATCATTCCTATGAACCTGATTCTAATTTCAAGGTCACTAGGGGGAGATAATTCAGAATCATACTGAAAAGTTCAGAGTGTGGTCACCTGATACTCATGTCAGACTTCTGCGAGAACAGTTTGGTCCAAACTGACGGCCAAAAGAGAAGTAAACACTTAAAAAATGAATTTGACCAACACATTAAAACGTTATTAAAATGTTACTAGCTTGAAACAAATCGCTGGAACACTGCAAACATAAGGTTCAAAACTAAAAAATGATACCCGTATCATCCACATCAACATCGAATGACCAAAGCGGACACATTTTATGGAAAACAACAACTTCTTTAATATTTTAAAGGCGACGTTTCGGTATAGATTGCTTGACAACGGTATAAGGATCTATACCGAAACGTCGCCTTTACAATATTAAAGAAGTTGTTATCCTTAAATTGTGTCTACTTTGTCATCCGTCAACTTCTAAGTAATGCCTATCAAACAATTCATCGAATAACCATCCGTTCTTGGTTTTATTACTAGCCACTATCAAACATAGATGTACACTTTCTTTTACCCGGCAGTATACTATAGCTATGATCAAGGACAAGCCATAACAGATCGATAATGTATGAATTGATATAGCAAAATTAATCTCCTCCCGATATGACTACTTGTGTTTTTGTTGCGACACATTGTCTAAAGATAATAACTCGAGGTGGTCTGTCTAGTATCAGTTGTTTCGTTTTTTTGTTAGTAGTAAACTCTGCAAAAACTGTCTCATAAATGATTGAGTCCGGGCCAGGCAGACCGTGACCAACCTCCCACGATAAAATCAGCCGAGTCACAGATCGCGATCCGGTGATCCCCATTTTATTTAGCTTTTACGACAAGCATGAATCCCCACGAGACAAAAAACACTTCACTGACAGATCCTACGCAACGTTTCGTTATTTCAGTTGCTTTTTATTGGTGACACGTCTAACTGCACATAGCTACTCGTGCTTTTCCCCGCGCTCTGGCCCTTTCGGAAGTTTACGCAAGTTGAAGAGTGTTTACAAACAAAACCTAAAAACGGTAAATGTCGTAAAATAACACACCAAGTGATATTTTGAGCCAACTAAGCATGTTATGTTAACAGGAAGAATGTGTTGACAGTATAAGGGCGAAATTAACTATTTATTATGTTTGAAAATATCGTACAAAAACAACGGAAGTTGTCAATGAGATGTCGTAATTGCAGGGGAAATAGAATTACGATGCGCAGATACATGAAGCTGCATAGATTCGGTCATTAAAATACCCCGAAAGGTAGAAGATATGTCCTATCCATTCTATGGATATATCTCAGATATGTATTTTGGAGCGAATAGGTAAGTGATTGTTGTTTACAGGTGCAGTGTATTATTCAAGCTATATAACGACCGCCTGTTGATAATAAAGTCTGAACCAGGGATTGATATTATGAACAACATTGTCGGGGCGCAACAACAAATTCTAAAATTAAAACCATGTAGAAGTATTCTTTGAGTGCTGAGTAAGCTCCAGTAGAGTTCATTTTTATATGATAGCGCTAACATTACTTAAAAATCAAACATATGATAAAAACAACGAAGAGGTATAATTTCTTTTGCCCACTGGTTTCTCTTCTCAATGTAAAATGTTCAGTACGCTGCAAGACTAGCTGGGGGCACGGGTGGCCCAGTCGTCTAAGGCGCCGCAATTCGCTGTGCAGAATTGCGTCCCTTAGGCACGCCAGAAACCTATGATTGTGGGTTCGAATCCCGGTTCGCCCCGATTATGTTCCTAGGTTTGTCAGCACCACACCCGTGCTCGTGGGT